TCTTTATCAATCGTCTTTCCACCCCTTTCACGTGATTGGTTAAATGAAATGGATGGTTGTAATTTGAAGATGTACTAAACACTTGAACAGTTCTATCAATAATATTCAATCTGAATTTTTTACATCCATAATTATTATGTTTACAAATACCATATACGTTAATGATATTATTTTTCTTGAGATATTTAATGTATTTGAACGCTATAATGCAAACATTGTTCACATATTTAGCAATTCGATTTCGAAATACATATGGATAATATTTTACATCTAATCTTCCATCGGTAAATATCTTTCTCCAGATTTTTTCCTCAACCACAAATACTCCTTCTAGAAAATTGCAGCTTTTATAAGCCGTTTTAACCGATTTCCCGATGATATTAATTGAACTTATGGGTAAAATTTCAGAGCAGTTCCTGGGACTGGATAAATTCAATAGTTCTTCTGGAATTTCAAAATTTTCCGGTGAAATGTTTTTATGATTTCCATCTATAGCTTTTGCTCCGGGCATTACCTCGGTACAATTCTCTGAACTTCTCGAGTGTTCCATTTCTGAACGCTGTCTCTGTTCAACAATGTCGCATTTTGTAATCGGTACCTTATTTTCCCCTTCGACGGTACTGAATATATCAGTTCTTTCTTTGGAGTAGAACAGTATTCAATCGAAACATCATTGAATTGATTATCGTCCATTATGCTACAATTACCGCAATTTTCATCCAGAATTCTTTTTTTTTAAATATTTTCCACATGTAATTAGTAGCAGATTACAGCCGGTTCTGGACCACCCCCCACCACTATGACGTATTAATTGCCTTTTTTTGTTGTTGTTTAGTAACATCAAGGCGATGTGACCTTGAAGAGTCTGATGCAGGGATCGTTCAGAATTTTTTTTTTCATATGAGATTTTTATGTGTGTGTGTGTGTCATATGAGATTTTTGGGTGTGTGTGTGTGACATAGTGACGTAACTACATTTGATTGGTGGGTTTCATCATGTGCT